AATATCATATGCTTCTCTGTACCTTGCTTTTTATTATTTATCTATTTTTTTAAAGATTTTTTTTTTTTTTTTATTTGACAGAGACACAGCGAGAGAGGGAACACAAGCAGGGGGAGCGGGAGAGGGAGAAGCGGGCTTCCCGCGGAGCAGGGAGCCCGATGCAGGACTCGATCATGACCTGAGCCGAAGGCAGCCGCTTAACCATCTGAGCCACCCAGGCGCCTGAGAGATGACCCTTTGTGATCTGAGTTGCAAACATGTTCCTCTAGTTTGTCATTTGTCTTATGACTCGATTTATAGTGTTTTACTTGCAAAAGTTTTTGATTTGTACGTAGTTGACTCTAATCAAACTTTTTAAAAAGATATTTATTTATTTATTTGCGAGAGAGAGAAAGAGAGAGAGAGAGAGAGAGAGAGCGAGCGCGCACAAGCAGGGGGAGGGGGAGGGGCAGAGGCTGAGGGAGAAGCAGGCTCCCCACTGAGCAGGGAGCCCAAGGCAGGACTTGATCCCAGGTCTCTGAGATCATGACCTGAGCCGAAGGCAGACGCTTAACCGACTGAGCCAGCCAAGTGCCCTAATCAAACTTTTATTGACAGCTTTTTGGGTTTGAGTCATGGTTAGACTTTTCTCAGTCTGAGATTATAGATTCTCCGATGTCTTTCTCTAGTGTTTTATGATTTTGTTTTGATTTTTTTTAATATAAATATTTGATCCCTTTGGAGCTTATCCTCAGTGAAGTACTCGATATGATGTACAGGTCTAATTTTTTTTCCCAGTTGGCTACCTGTCTTTTTTTTTTTTTTAAAGATTTTATTTATTTATTTGACAGAGCGAGAGAGGGAACACAAGCAGGGGGAGTGGGAGAGGGAGAAGCAGGCTTCCCGCGGAGCAGGGAGCCCGATGCGGGGCTCGATCCCAGGACCCTGGGATCATGACCTGAGCCGAAGGCAGACACTTAACGACTGAGCCACCCAGGCGCCCCTTGACACTTTAAATATTATCTATAGTAGTGAAGTTAGTCTTGTCCTCTCCCCCCCCCCACTCATACAGTTTCCTGGTATTCTTTTCCATTTTTTTTTTTTTTCTGAGGGTGGTGAACCTCAGGAGATCTCGTGGGACTTATACTCTGTAAGAGAACAGACAATAAACAATAATTACATGTCACTTGGTAGTGGCAAGAAAAACAACAGAACAGATAAAAGGACAGAGGGCAGCCAGGGACGTCCCCTGGATGAGGTGGTTACACCTGAGTGAAGAGATGGAGGCCACACGGATACCTGGCGGAAGACACTCCTAGCAGGACCAAGGACAGATGCAAATGCCTGAGCCAGGAGCATGCTTGGCATGTTGAAAACAACAAGGCAGCCAATGCAGCTGGAATGGAGTGTTCAGATGGGAGAGTGGGAGGCGATGAGGTAGATCATGCCGGCCTTGCAGGTCATAGCAAGGACGCTGGCTTTTCCTTGGAGATGGGGAGCCACGGGAGGGGACAGAGCAGCATAGTAACAGGTTCTGACCTCCCTTTTTACAGGCTGCAGTGTGGAGAACAGACTGTACAGGTGAGGGCAGCAGCAGGGAGGGCCATAGGATTTGGGATGGGTGAGTGGATTGTAACTCAGTTTCCTTGTCCGTCTCCCCCACTGAACTGTGAGCTTTACAAGGACGGGCAGTGATCTATGCACAGAGTAGGCATGGATAAACATTGGTGGGAGGAGGAAGGGAGGGAGGTTAGACTGGAGGAGGCAGGGGAGGCAGAGTCCCCTGGGGAATGGCTCTGCAAAGGCCACAGACAGTGGAGGAGCAGATGTGATGAGAGCCGGCTCCCCAGCAGGGATGAAGGCTGAAAGGGGCTGAAGCTGGGGAAGCTAGTCTTCCCAACCTGGTGCCCACCCAACCCAGGATCTGTGACCCCCACGGAGGACAGGCTATGTGCAGTTGAGGCTGGAGTTTTGCTACCACAGGGATCCCGGAGAGGGGCTCTGTTCCCCAAGGACAGAGGGTTCAAGGGTGAGGTAGCTGGGAGAGAGAGCAGCTTTCCTGAATTCTGGCACTCTGAGGCCCTGGGAAGGGATAATTTGTCCTCTTTACGGATGGTAAATTGAGGCTCCAAGAAGGAATGGAACTCACCCAAGGTCACATAGCAAATAAATGGCCCAGCCCAGTCTCAGAGACTTGGTGTCTATAAGACAGCTCCGTGGCCACTGCCTAATTTTGGTCTGGGTCCCTCTGCAGTTTTGGGGAGTGACCAGGTACAGAAGGAAAAGATGACTCCTAGCATTCAGCCAGCCCTTAGCTGCTGCCCAGGCACCGCTGCTGATGCCCCAGTGGGGACAGGACCCAGCTATGGGGAATAGGAGAATGGGACCCTTCAGGACTTCATGATGCTTTGAGCAGAATGGGCCTGGGAGCAGGGCAGGTAGATAAGAGGCACCAAGCTAAGGGACAGAGGAAAGAGGTTGGGCTTTGAAGTACAGCATGGCTTTGCCACTATCTCACTGCCTGACTTTAGGTAAATAGCATCTATCCAGAAACCTCAGTTTATGCATCTGTAAAATGGGAATATCATATCTTCCTTACAGGGCTGGCATGGGGTTGAATGAGGCAACAGGAGTCCAGTGCTAGTCCAGTGGCTTTCCCCCACCTAGACTAGGGTGCTGGCATCCCTGTCCCCTGTGGTGAAAGGCTCCTAGGTGAAAGGGAACATGAGTTGTGTCTCAAGTCCCACGAGTTGTGTCTCAAGTCCCAGGCCTACAAGTGGATCCAGGCTATGGGGGATCTGGCCAGTGCTGATGCCTATTAGGGTCAGGTGAGCTGCACAAGCCCCCAGGACAGGTGGGTGGACCCTGATCTGCACCAAGTACCTCAAAGTACTTGCTCACTCTGGGCCTCAGTTCCAGGGAATCTCTTGGGCACTGGTTGGAGGTGGGCAGGAATTGGAGCCTTCTAATGGGCAGATGGAGTAGGCTGCTTCAATAGTAGTGAGCTCCCTGTCTCTGAGGTATATAAACAGAGACTGGACAAGCCCTGGGCAAGGATTCACTCAGCAGACATTAAATAGTGGCAAGAAAGAGGGTACATGATATGGGAGGGACTGGTCGAGGACTTCTAAACTGAGCTCTGAAGGACCAGTATGAGTTAAAGTAGGGAAGAGAAGAGTGTTTAGGTTTGAGAGAACAGGTGGTGCAATGCCTAGAGGCAAGAGAGAACCCTGCATTTTCAAGGAGCTGAAAGTTTAGCATGTCGGAAGAGTAGAAAGCAAAGGGCAGTGACTGAGTTGGGTGAGGTCAGAAGTCACCAGTCCTCATCTAAATTAAAGGGATCCATCCTAGGGGTCAGGATCCACCCTGTCCTGTGATGGTCGAGGATGAGGAGCGAGCCAGGTCTCTGCGAGAGGATGGGGCAGGGAGAGAACCATCTGTGCAAATACCTGGAGGACAGGAAAGAGAGTTGAGAGCAGCTCCGTCTGTCTAGAGCCTGGCTGGGAGAGAGCGGAGGGGGTGTGGCTGAGAGTAGAGACCTAGGTAGGGACTTGTGGGTCTTGCTGAGTAGCCTGAGGCCATTGGGAGTCACCAAAGGGTTTTACATGGTGGTGGAAGCGTGTGTGTGGGTGGGGGGTAGTGATCCAACCCCAGTAAAAACACTGAGGAAGGATGTCTGGGATGTCCTTTAAAGTCCCTGCAGGCCCTAAGACCGCGCAGAAACTCAGGGGAGTGCCGCTCTCTTAGGCACAACCTCATTAGAGGCATCTCAGGGAGGATGAGGAAGTTCATGGGTCAGAGGAACCTCAGAGAAGTCAAGTGACACCTGGAGGTGGGGTCTGGTCTCAGCTCATCACTGATTCAATGAGTCGGTTAAGTCTTAGCCCTCAGAACGTAGGGGCTGGAAGGACAATTCTGTCGTCAGAAGATAGGGAAGTGAGGCCCCCGACAGAGGTTAAATGAAATTGCTCCAGGCCACAGAGCAAATCAGTGGCAGGGTCAGGGTCAGGGAGCAGAAAACTAGTATCTACTGAGGACCCAGTATGTGCCAGTCCAGTATTAGGCACTTGACACATCACATCATTTAATGCAGTACGGCTCCATTCTGCAGATGAGCAGACTGAGGTGCAGATGGCGGGACTCTTGTTCCGGGTCATATAGAGATAGGGCTGGAAACCAGGTTTGCAGACTCCTTGTCCTACAGCACTTTCGGGTCTACATTTAAGGTGGGGGGTAAGGAGGCGGGGCGTGTCCAGGAGAGTGAGGGGGAGGGTGGGGCTGTGCTTCCGGGACTTTCCTCTCTGAGGTCAGAGGCCCGAAATAGTTGCGCTCCAGTGGGCGCCCCGAAGCTTCGCCACACTTTATCTGCCCTGCCCGCAGCGGGGAGCGGTCTAGACACAGCGCGCGTCCCCTCCTCTGTCCCCTCTCCCCGCAGAGCGGCGTGAAACTAGCCAAACGCTCGGCGCGCCGCGAACGTGCCCCAGGGCGCCCCGGCGCGCTGAAGCTGGCGCAGCTGCTGCAGCGGCTACGGCGACACATCGCCGCACGCTTCCGCCTCTCGCCTCCCAGCGCCGCTACCCTCCGACGGCAGCGGCGCTGAGCGTGCCTGCCGCCGCCCCGCGCCCGCCAATTAGGAAGCAGAGGCAGCCTCCGGTCACGCCTCCCTTGTGACGTCACGCGGCCGTCCAGGAAGCCCCGCCCAGTGGCCTCGCTTGGGAAAAGCCTGGTGCGGGGGGGGGGGCGGGGTGCGGGCAGTGGATTCCCATGTGAATCGCACACATACCTGCCCTGAGAAATAGAGGCAGGGTGAATAGTCTTCTAATTTTAAAATGTATTTATTCACTCAGTTGCTCTTCATCCACCTTCATCTGTCTGTCCATCCATCTGGACCATCCACTCAACCATAGCTCTTGGGCGCTGTGTGCCAGGAGCTGAGCTGGGTGCTAGCGATAAATAACAATGAACCCAGTGCTTGTGTTCAGGGAGCTCGGAGTCTAGTGAGGAAGTCTGACAGTAACAAATGCTTACACCAATCATGCTTTTATTACAATCGTGATCCATTCTAGGAACATAAGGTACAGGCTGCTGGGATAACGGAGTGTTTAATTTAGACTGGGGGCTTGGGTCTCTGAAGAAGTTATATTCGAGCTGACTCCTGAAGCAACAAAAGTGTTCCAGGCAGAGGGAAGAGCTTATGGAAAGGCATTGAGGTTGGCACACACTTGGAGGGTTCTGGAAAGGAAAAAGAGGCCAGTATGGCTGGAAAAGAGTTGGGGGAGGGGAAGCAAGTTGAGGTAAGACTCTGGAGCTTTGAAGGAGCAGATTATTTAAGACCTTGAAGACAAGAGTAAAGGAGTAGAATTTTAAGTGTGATAGGCAGCTGGGGGAGGGCTTTAAGCGGGAAGGAGGGGGTCACTTTGTTTTGCTTTATTTTAAGATCTTTGAGGCTCTGTGTGGAGAATAGACAAGAGTGGACACAGGGAGACCCATTAGGAAGACATTGTAGGTGACCTCCAGGACTGAGGGTAGTGAGCTAGATGATGAGAGGGGGCCATGTGGGTGGAGAGCCGTGAGGAGACTCAAGAAATAATTAGAAGATAGGATCTACAGGCTGGCTGGTTGCTGGATTGAGTGTGGGGGATGGGTGGGATCAAGGGAGATTAATATTAAGTACTTTTATTGGACAATTATTTATAGAGTCCTCGCGGGGTGCCAAGTACTGTTCTAGAGCACCTGTCAAGTTTCAAATCCTGGTCCTGCCACTTGCTAGTTGTTTACCTTAGAGAAGTCATTTCACCTCTCTCTGCCGTGATCTCTTCTTTTAAAAAAGCAAGGATCCTTAATAACATCCAAGAGGATTGTTGTCAGGATTAAATGAGTTAATATATGTAAAACCTTGGATCTGGAGGTCTGGGACTGGGCTCTGAGGCTTGGTACTTGGACTTGGTTACTTGGGAGTGAGTGCTTGGGCCTGCTTCTTGGAGTAACCAAGGCTCCATTTCTTGAGCCTGCCCCTAACCTGATTCCTTTCTCTGGGGCTTCATAGCACATGAGAAGGGTGTGACCCTACCTGTCTGCACTGTTTCCTCCACAGAAACCTCAGATGGAAGGGAAATAGAAGGTTGCTCTGGACTTCTCCATGGGGCCTTGCTGGGGCCCCTTTCTTTTCCCCCTAAGCCAGGCAGCCCATACTCCCTACTCTTCTGCCCCTCCCCCACAGCCATCTGCTTAAAGGAAGTGGCTCTTTAGCTCTTCACAGGAAGCCACAGGCCTCCTCTGCCTCAACTCCCTCCAGCCACTGCTGACCCAGGCCCCCTGCTGGCCCAGGCCCCCTTCAAGCCCGAATCCAGGGATACCCTGTACCTGGCATCACTCTCTGCTGCCCAGCCAGGAAGTGTAGGGGGGTGTTCGTCTCCTTTTCATTTAGATCCCTGTGGCTCTGGTTTGGAAGAACAGGCTGTAGGCCTGGGGGTGAGACCTGATTGCAGAGGGTCCTGAATGCCCTGCTGGGGAGTTTGGAGATCTCAGCATTGCAGGACTGAGGGCCGGCAATGCAAGGGAGAGGAGGGGCAGGGATCCTCAGGAGTGACCACTTCCGTGAGCTTCAGGAGCTCGTGCTGTAGAGCAGGGGCAGGGTCTGATTCATTTTGGTCTTCAGCATCCCTTGTGGTGTATGCCCCAGGGAGGGCTGGTGGTAATTGTGAAGCTGCTAAAGGATGATGCAGGCTGAGGGAGATTCAGAGCGGGATTGTACTGCCACCTGGTGGCCATAACAGCACATAGCGCCATGGGATGCTGGGAAGTCGGCCCTGAGAGGGAGTGAGCTTACTTTCAAGGGTCTTGGGGGCCAGGGAGGCCCTTAAAGAATGAAAGAAATCCCTATGTGAAGGGATTTTATTAAAGAGAAAGACACTTCTCACTTGAGTACTTGGGAAAGACATTCTAGGTCTAGATGAGGGTTCAACTCCTCCCCTCTTCCATTTCATAGACTAGGACACTGAGGTCCAGAGAGAAATGATGAGGACAGAGGACCTCAGTGTTGTTTTCCATCAAGTCAGTCACACAGATGGGATCTATTTTTGGACTTGTCTTAGGGTGTGGTCTCAGAATGAGGAACTGCCCTGCTGGTCTCTAGTCACCCTCATTTGTGACCAAACATGGCATCTCTCGGCGCCATCACCCACCTTAGTCACCAAAGTTGGCATCACAAGGTGGCTTTTGGCAGCTTCTAAAAATAAAATCCACTCTCAGAGGGCCAGGGTCAGACATGACTGAGAGGATTCCGAAGCATGTACTTCAGGCTCAGCAGTTTTAGAGCAGGGGATACCTCCGAGACCATAATATCCAAGCCCCCTTGTTTTAAAAATGAGGAAGCTACGGCTCGCAGAAGGCAGGTAACCTGCTGGAGGCACCACCCTGTTGCTGAGCCAGGACTCAGCTTTTTGTCTCTCTGAAGGCCATTGCCAAGGAGGAGGCTAAAAGTGCATTAGCATCTCCTGACTTGTTGCATAAGTGAATTCTGGTTTGTGTTCATTGTTCTGCCTCACACTTTGTAGAAGGATGATTGTGGCCCATGATGGCTCACAAGGGCCAGGATGGGTAAAGGGAGATGGGGGCAAGGAGGGGGTGACAGGGAGGGAGAAGGGGGTCATAGATACTTTGTGGGGGCTCCTAGTTTGTGCACTGTGGGCTCCAAGGAGGTGGGAACCAGGTCTCTTCCACCACGGTGTTCTCAGCAACTGGCACAGTGCCAGACACAGACTGAGTGCCCAGGAAATGCCTGCAGAATGAACACAAGGAGTTATCCTGCAGAGACCCAAGGGATCCTGTGGGAAGAAGAGTGTCTCCTCAAAGACGGGTCATTTTCAGTGTCATTCAGCCTGAGAAGTGCTGAGGCCTCAAATCTGAAATCCTGGGGGCTGAGCTGTCTGTCTGTCTCTGGCCTTGAAGCTGTTCAAGGGAATAAGATACCAAGGGAAGGGGCGCCTGGGTGGCTCACTGGGTTAAAGCGTCCAACTCATGGTTTCAGCTCAGGTCATGATCTCAGCGTCCTGGGATCAGGCCCCGAGTCGGGCTCCACGCTCAGCAAGGAGTCTGCTTAAGGATTCCCTGCCCCTCCTCTCTCTCTCTCTCTCTCTCTCTCTCTCGTGCGCGCGCTCTGATTTTATTTATTTGCGAGAGAGAGAGAGAGCACAAGCAGGGGAAGTGGAAGGCAGAGGGAGAGGGAGAAGCAGACTCCTCGATGAGCAGGGAGCCCGACTCCAGAAATGATCCTAGGACCCTGGGACCATGACCTGAGCCGAAGGCAGACACTTAACCGGCTGAGTCACCCAGGCGTTCCAAATAAATAAATCAATCTTAAAAAAAAAAAAAAATGCCAGGGCACCTGAGTGGCTCAGTTGGTTAAGTGTCTACTTTTGGCTCAGGTCATGACCAGGGGTCCTGGGATCAAGATCCGCATCCACATCCGTTCTCCCTGCTCAGCAGGGAGCCTGCTTCTCCTGCTCCTTCTGCCACTCCCTCTGCTTGTGCTCTCTCTCACTCTTGCTCTTTCTCAAATAAATAAATGAAATCTTAAAAAAAAAGACACCAAGGGAATAAGTGGGGGGTTTATGCTCCTGGGGGCAGGGTGCCCATCCTAAGGAGAAAGGAAGAACAGGGTCTGTGAGCTCCAGAAAGTAAACCCTGACTCCAAAGTCACATGATCTAGTTCCTGGTTGTTATTTGGCTTTTTTCTCTCTGCTTTATCCTTTAATCTTACAAAGGAGGAAACTGAGTCACATGAAGTGAAGGGACTTGTGTTAGGTCTATAGGACTCCAGAGGAAATTCCTAACTACTATGCTCCACTGTCTTATTGGAAAACCTCAGCCTCATCTATGCTGGAGAATGCTGAGTAAGAGGTTAAAGGCCTGTGTTTACTCAGACCAGTGTTAAAGGGGGTTCAGCTCCCCCATTCTCAGGCCTACATGGTAGTGACAGTGGGTATTACTAAGGGTCCCCGAGAGAAAGAACAAGAGATCCAGTCATTCTTCCCATGACTATTGGGGAAGGTGAAGGGGTAGATGAGAGGAGACTGACCTCAGGTTCAATTCTACCCACATATATTAGCACCTACTGTGTGCCAGGCCTGTGCCAGGCATTGGAGAGGAGAGAGAAATTAGAAACAATGCCTTCCCTGAAGGTGTTGAGGGATATACACTATGTCTCTGGGATGTCAACCCTATAGACAAACTGGGGTGCAGGCCTCAGTAGAGTGTGATGCTTGAGACTCCGCCTCCCTCTGGAGGCAGAAGTCCACTCTCTGCCCCTCTGTGGACGGCCCCAGCCAAGACAGGACTCAGCTGAGGCCCCTGTGGTGCGTATTGGCTCAGGGGACTCAGCCCAGCTTTTGCTCCTGGACACAAGCCATGAAGAGAGTGTGAGGAGCAGGTGGTGTCTCTCCCACCTATGAACCTCTTCCACGAGCAGTGTTTCTCTGGGGCCTGGGGCAAGCCAGCTGAGGCACACGATTGCCAGCCACAGAGATGGCGTGAGATCTGGGGGCAGGAGCGGGCAGGATGGGACCTCTTACCCACCCTCCCACACACATTGGTAACTGGAGAAGAATGTCTGGATTATAAGTGGGGTGGGGCAGGGGAGGCCTGAGCACAGCTGCAATGGCCCTTTTGTGACCAGCTTTTGTGGTTCACACATGACCACTTCCCAGGGATGCAGATCTCCACAGGAGGCTGGTCTGGCGTGGAGGCTGGTGTGCCCACTCAGAGACCGGAACCCTGGTGCTGGCACCAGCCCTGTCTTCACTGCCATTTGATTTCTGGGACCCCTATGCAACCCCACCCCACCTAGGTCCAGGCACCCTGGTTCACCTGGCTAGGCCTTGCTAACTTTGGATCTCCCCAAAGGTTTGGGTTGGCCTTTCCTTTCCATTCCGAAGGTGTAAAGGCTCCATACGCGAACTGTCCATTTGATTCCCCAGAGTTCTTGGAGGGAAGGAGACCTGGCCCGAGCCATGCCCTCAAAAAGCTGGTGTTACACACTTTCCCCAAGGAAAAGGTCTGGCCTTATATTCTCCATCTAAGGGAGACCACTCTGTGCTTCTTCAGAGAATGGAGATCAGGCTTCTCCATCTCTGCCTAATCAGAAAAGTAGCTGGAAGCTTCTCCCACTGAGAACAGACTGAGCTCTGCCTCCCCAGGCACCCTGTGAAATCGAGCCTGAGTGTTCACGCTGTGGCAGGAGGCTCTGCTGGGAAGGAATCCCAGAGGAGGGGATGTCTCAGCTGGGTTATGAGCTTCAGAAGGACATTTGAGGCAGAGAGAACAGCACGTGCTGAGGCCCAGAGACAAAACCACCTGGTTGTGCTCCAGGAGCTGCGGTTGGCTCCAGGAGAGAAGGGGTCGGAGGTGTGTGGAGAAGGCAAATCGGAGCCATATCTTGTTGGGCTTCTCACAGTAAGGGTGACTCACAGAAAGCAAAGCATTTTCTTTCTTTCTTTTCTCTTTTTAAGATTTTATTTATTTATTTATTTGAGAGATAGAGCAAGAGAGCACAAGCAGGGGGAGCGGCAGGCAGTGGGAGAGGGAGAAGCAGACTTCCCGTGAGCAGGGAGCCCGATGCGGGGGCTCGATCCCAGGACCCTGGGATCATGACCTGAGCCAAAGGCAGACGCTTAACCGGCTGAGCCACCCAGGTGCCCCAGGGCAAAGTGTTTTCTGATTGAATTTTATTCTGTTTTCACTTAGGTCACTGATGAGTGTGACAGAGAAAGCCCCGGGCTACAGTTGGAAGGAGTGGGTTCCCGGCTGCTGCTGGCTACTCCTCATCGTCCACCTCCTCCTTGCCGTTTCCGAGGAATTTGTGGACAGTGTAGCCTAGAAAGGCACCAACCTTGCCCATGAGGGCACTGCCACCACTGGTCCCTGTAAAGCAAATAGAGCCAGGTCACTTCGGGCCCAGGCGCCAGACCCGAGAATCCAAATGCCTGGAAACCATTAGTGAAGTCCAACTTCTTTTCCAGTTAGAGAAACAGGGGCCTTAAGAGGGGACAGGACTTTTGCAAAGTGAATCCTAGTTCCCCCTTGACTTGCCATCTCCAATCAGAGATGTGTTTCAAGATGGAAAGTACACCAATAACAGCTCATTCTCTTCACATCTGCGGTGAACACACCGTGTTATTAATAATGCTCCCAACAGCCACCTCAGTGGTGACCTCCCTGTGGGGCCTGGGGGCTTACAAGTAAGGGATTTCATCCTCCTCACAAGCGTGTGACATGCACAAGCATCTTACAGTGCAGGCCTGTTCCTAGCCTTGCCCACACCCTTCACCTCCCACTGCTGGGGTGTGGACTGATCTGTGTCTTCTCTTCTGCCCCCTCTGAGAAAGACTATATTCTTTTGGGCTGGTTCTTTGAGCTTTTGTCATCCAGAATTGAGAGCAGATGGAAGATTCAGGAAGGCAGAGAGGAGTCTGCCAGGGGCAACTTTTCTCTAGGATTTTGGAGGCCTCAGAGAGAGAGGGAGGGAAAGAAAAAGAAAGGGGTGGAAGAGAGAGAGAGAGAGAGAAGTGAATGCGTTTCTTTTAATTAAAAAAATTTAAAAAAATTTTAAGTATAATCTTTACACCCAACATGGGGCTCGAGCTCACAACCGGGAGATCAAAAGTCACATGCTTTACCAACTGAACCAGCCAGGCACCCCTCTCCACCACCTTTCTTTGCCAATCTGGTTCTCTGGGATTGAGCAGATTCATAAAATGTTATATTGAGGATGGCCATCCCTGTTAAAAGATGAGGAAACTGAGGCTTGTCGTGACCTGGCCAAAGCATCAGTGAGGCACCTGGCCTTGGTGGTTAAAAGCGAGGCATAAGACCAGGTTCGAATCCTGACCCTGGTGCTAATTAACTGGGAGAACTCGAGTAAATTACTTAGTCCCTCGGTGCCTCAGTTTCCCCACTGCAGGATGGAGATTGTAAGAACACCCGACTCATAGAGTCACCTGACCCTGGCGTCCCCGCCCGAGGGCCCGGCCGCCCACTCACCGAGGCTCTGCAGCGTGGCCACCAGCCCCCCGGCGGGCACCCCGCCCCCGTTCGCCACGGCCGACCAGCTCATCAGCGAGGCGGCCACCGAGTTGGCGGCAATGCCGGTGCTCATGAAGCCCAGCGCGGGCAGCCCGGCGGCCAGGAGCCCTGGAGGAAGAGGAGGTGATGAGCAAGCGCCCGCAGCAGGGCCCCGAGCCGCGCCCCCCTTCCCGAGCTTTGCGCTCTCCCGACGCACCTCCTCCGACCGCCATGTAGGTCAGCGCGCCCCAGAACCCGGAGCCTCCGCCTTCCGAGCCTTCTTTTCCCTCTTGTCGTTTGCCTATCGGGAGGGGACAAAGTGGAGCGGGGAGCAGGGCTCCCTACTCTGTGCCTGATGCTCAGGACCACCCCCATCCTTCCATTTCGGGGAGCCTCCCTGAAGGGAAGAGACTTCACCCAAGGCGCCGTGTCTGGCGCCTACCTGGCACAGAATACCCTTCGGTGGAACGGAGGAATTGGCAGGTGGGGAATCGAATCTGGGACCCTGGCTACAGCGACCCGGAGCTGGCCATCGTAATAGGCCTCCTCGTCTTGGAACCAGGGACCCTGAGACTCT